ACACACACATATATATATATATATATATATATATATATATATATATATATATATATATATATCTGTGTGTGTGTGTGTGTGTGTGTGTGTGTGTGTGTGTGTGTGTGTGTGTGTGTGCACATATGTATATATATATTTATGTATATATGTATATATATGTATATATTTATATATATATATATACATATATACATATATACACAGTATATATATATATATATATATATATATATATATATATATATATATATGTATATGTGTGTGTGTGTGTGTGTTGCTGCCAAAATAATGTCGGATAGGCCATTAAACCGTCATACATATCAAGAATAGTTTTTATCATAAAAGCTTTAAAGCAACTGGACTCCTTATATAACAACTCATTTCGTTTCCCAAAAGTGAGGTTATTTGCAGTTACATAATCTTATTTTACGAAAATTATCTTGTTATTAATACAGCTGTTTATTTGTTTAAACTGTCAAGGTCATCAATATATACATTGTTATCTTCAGTATCATTATCATTATCATTTTTGTTATAATATCATTATTATCTTTATTTCTAAGGTTGTTGTTATTAGTATCAATTATAATTATCAATATTGTTATAACTACTGTGGTTATTTTTATTATGATCATTATTATTTTTTTATTACTATTATTGTTGTTACCATGATCATTAATATTATTGCTATTATCATCATCCTTATCATTTTCTTTATTAATACTATCATTATCAGTATTATTATCATTACTATTATTGTTAATATTATCATTACTATTATTGTTAATATTATCATTACTATTATTGTTAATATTATCATTATGATCATGATTATCATCATTACCGTTATCATTATTATCATTATTGTCATTATTGTTATCAATATTATCATTTTCATTATACTCGTTATCATTACCATCGAGATTATCATTATCAATGGTTATCATTATTATCATTATTATCATCATCACTATAGTCATAATTATCACTATTATCATTACCATGCATCGTCATTTTCATTATTGTTATTTTTCACATATATTCTATTCTAGTCTTCTGCCCTTTTCTCGAACAAAGACCGAAAGCTGTTATTATTTGAATTTTAAAATACCTTTGTTTCCCGCGCTAATATCTCGTATAAAATTAACGGTTCCTTGTTTACGTCACTTGTTTCAGCATTGCCAGATATAGCCAGGGAAAACAATCGAAAATAATTTCCCAGAATTATTGTTTCTACGCGATGGCAGTATATTTCGAATGCTGATTTGATATCACACGTTTTGAAGAGAGAATTTATTCGATTTCTACTCGTTACGGAAGAAATATATTCAGTCGGCATGTAAAGGGAGGGAGAAACTAAATTAGTGTTGTGCGAATAGTGGTCGTTACTGTATTCAAGTAATTTCGGACAAATAGCATTTTTAGTCTCTTTTATAGTGAAAAGAACATAATTTCCTGAATGACTGGTGTTTGACAGGTATTACGGACTAGACTGGTGCGTCAGAATTGAATACCTTGCAAATCAAAGGTTTGTTGTGGTAAATTTAAAATACAAGATCAGTAAGAGATTTGCCGAAATCTCTACATTTTTTTCTGTTATATATATATATATATATATATATATATAGATAGATAGAGAGAGAGAGAGAGAGAGAGAGAGAGAGAGAGAGATACATGGATAGATACATAGATACACAGATAGATATACACACAAACAGATATACAATTATATTATACATATATATATACATATACATACATATATATATATATATATATATATATATATGTGTGTGTGTGTGTGTGTGTGTGTGTGTGTGTGTGTGTGTGTGGTGTGTGTGTGTGTGTGTGTGTGTGTGTGTGTGTGTGTGTGTGTGTGTGTGTGTGTGTGTGTGTGTGTGTGTGTGTATCTTTTTTTTCTTCTTTTTTTTTTCTTTGTACTTATTTTGACAGTGCTACATGTCATATTGGCGTTGTGGAGAATGCTACAGAAAATGTATCAAAGAAAACGGAGCAGATTGAAGGGTAACTAATGTAAATGTGGCCCTGTCTAAATACTGGAGGATATCTAAAGTGGAAAGGGAAAAGGAGGAAAACGAGGAAAAGAAGGAAAAGGAGGAAGACAAAAATGGAGGAGAATGAAGTGGATTTGGATGAAGATAAGAAAAAGAACAAAGAGGAGCATGAAAAAGGCTTAGGGAGATGAGGATGAGTTGGAGAAGAAGAAGAGAAAAGAGTAGGACAAGGAGGACGAAGAACTAGAAAAAAAACGAGAAAGAGGAAAAGGCGGCAAAGAATAAGGAAATAAAGTAATACCAATATCCAAAACTACGCTTTGGATATCATAACTTATCATATTATTTCACAACCAATGTAACTAAATGTAATAGAATGAAGATGATAAATGGACGGATAGATAGATACGTAGATAGATAAATAGATAGCAAGATAAAAAATAAAAAGATAGAAACATAAGTGCGTTGTGGAATATATATGTATACATACATAAATATATATATATATATATATATATATATATATATATATATATATATATATATATATATATACATATATATATATATATATATATTGATATTGACATTGATATTGATATATATTGGTATAAATATTTCAGACACACACACACACACACACTCATAGATACATAGAAAGGCAGGTAGGTAGATGAATGGACAGATAGATGTATAGGTAAGTACGTAGATCAGAGAGAGAGAGAGAGAGAGAGAGAGAGAGAGAGAGAGAGAGAGAGAGAGAGAGAGAGAGAGAGAGAGAGAGAGCGAGAGAGAGAGAGAGAGAGAGAGAGAGAGAGAGAGAGAGAGAGAGAGAGAGAGAGAGAGAGAGAGAGAGAGATGAGAGAATTTCAACGAAATATTTTCCTGTACTAATGTAATGCAATAATGATATCCGTAAAAGCTGATTTTCCAGCCCACTTCTTGACTAAAAGAAACTGATATAATTAATTCATGGATTCACGCCTTTGAATGGTGGAATCTATCAAATTTTACTAATGAATATATAATTAACGGGGTTTCCTTTGTTATCTGCCCGTGAAATATAGTTGTTATTATTGTTGTTGCTGTAATTATTTCTTTGTTATCATCATTATCATTATCATCATCACATCATCATCACCATCGTCATCATCACCATCATCGTCATTATCGTTATCAGTATTTTAATTACCATTCGGAATATTGTAATTATTGTTTTTATCATTTCTATTGTAATTATGACTTATCATTATGATTATCATTATTTTATCATAGAATAGCACAAAGCAAACTTTATCTACGGTGTAAAGACAAAATTTTAGGACACTTTTTTTCATTGTCTTTTCCATTGCAATTTGATAAGAAAGTTGTGCAACGCATAAGTAACACATGTGTTATACGCTTACACAATAACCAAATTATCTTAAAGAGAGAGGGGATAAAACCGCACTTACTGAAACAAGAAAGAACCAACGAGGCCAATAAAGATCATCAGAAATAAAGGAAAGATTTTGCCAGAAATTGGTTCCACGGCAACTGGGTAGGGGCGGGAGGGCCATTCTAGCGATTTTCCGCTAGATTTAGAGTTTTTTGAGGTTTGATATGGCGGGGAAATTTTGAAACTGCTATATTTAGCGATTTTTTAACTTCATTTTAACCAGTAAATATCAATGACAACACTAGAAGAGCGAAAATTCCGAGTTAGGAAAGATTTACACTATTTTTTGTTGTTTTGTTTTTGTCCATTTTAGCGGAAAAATGAGAAGCTTTTGCTCTCGTATCTAGCGTTTTTTAAAGTCCAGTCTAGCGGTTAAGCGAACATATCAGCGGCAACAAAGAGAGAGATGTCCTCAATTTAAAAAAAAAATACGTTTTGTGTTCAAGTGGCGGGTCTTGTGGATTCCCAGGAGTGACCCCAATGCTGGTGGGTGGAGTAAAAGGCCACCTCGTTAGCACTTACTCCATTTCGTAAACTGTGTCCGATACTTTCACTTATTTCCTGTCTATTTCATTAGCGATGGGATGGAGGAGAAGAAGGAAGAGAAAAAGAAGAAGACGAAGAAGAAGAAGAAGGGGGAGCAGGAAGGAGAGGAAGAGCAGAAGGTATAGGAGGAAGAGGAGGGGAGAGGAAAAGGAGGAGGAGGAGAAGAAGAGGAGGTGGAGGAGGAAGATCAGATTAACACGTATTACACAGCGAACGATACGAACAAACAAACATGAAAAGTTGGATGGCCATCATTATCATTATTGTTGTTGTTATGATTATTATTATTACTACCAATGTTATTATTATGATAATCATAATCATAAAAATAATGATTATTATCATAATTATAATTATTATTACTATTACTATTATTATTATTATTATTACCATTATTTTATTATCATCGGTATTATCATTATTATTTGTATTATCATTATTATTTGTATTATCATTTGTTGTAGTTTTATTTAATATCATTGTTATTTTTGTTATAATTCCTATTGTTATTTTGTTCTTATTACCTTTATCATTATTATGCATTATCTATTTACCTATCCATCATATATATATAATATATATATATATATATATATATATATATATATATATATATATATATATATATATATATATATATATATATATATATATATATATATATATATATATATATATATATATATATATATATATATATTGTTGTGTGTGTGTGTGTGTGTGTTTGTATGTCTGTCTGTATATGTTTGTATACATATATCTATCCATTCATATAGAGGTTAGTATCTACCATACATCCCTTCATTCTGTTGTTATCATTAAAGTCATTATTATTATTACCACTACAATTTTTTTTATGTTCTCAGATTTGTTTCTTCTTATTCTAACTGCAATGGCAATAGCAATGTGTCTTAAGTACTTCTTATTTTTAATCAAACCAATGTAATAAAGTAATTTAAGTACCTGTATAATATGATGCTTTAGGATATTGACAAGAACTG